AAAATTAAATATCAAAAAGAAAGAAATAAGCAGGTTAAAACAGAAACCAACCAAACAAAAAAGAAACAGTGGGAACTGGATTGACAGCCGAGTAGATAATAAGAGTACTGGCTGTTCTTGGGGATGACCCAAGTTGAGTTCCCAAAATCCAAAGGGCAACTCACAAGTGTCTGTAACACCCGGTCCAGGGTATGCAGTGCCCTCTTCTGGCCTTCCAGGGAACTGCATGCACATGGTGTACAAACATGCGCCGAAGCAGAAACTCATTCACGAGAAAATGAAAACAAATAAATCATTTTTTTTAAAACCTTTTCAAAAACGAACAGTGAAAGGAAAAATGCTACAAAGTGACTGTGACTGAATTGATAATGACATGGTATAGCGATGAATGGATCAGCGGGGTAGAACAGAATCCAAAGCTAAACCAAGCTGACAAATACATGGCAAAAATGTATTTCTACTCAATGGCATAAAGCACAATTAATATATGGTGCTAGCACAACTGGCTACCCATCTGATAGAAATAGTTCCTTATCTAAAATTATGAATTAATAAAGTCCAGATGGAGTCAATGTTTCAGTACATGCTATAGATAAAGCATCAAAAGTTAGGAAAAACAAAACAAACAAACAAACAAACCTAGGACATAGCACAACATGCTACTTAACCAGAAAAAGAAAGAACCACATCTGAGTTCATAAAATTTGAAACTAATTCATGTTGTAAAAACCATTATAGGCAAAGCTAATAGGCAAATGCTCGTAACCTCTGCCAGTTTACAAAAAGTCCCTCAATATTGGTAAGAGACAAGCATCACAAGAGGAAAATGGGGGAAATTGGTGTGGCAATTTGAATAGGTATGGTCCCACAGACTTGTGTGTTTGAATGCTTGGCCCATAAGAAATGGCACTATTAGGAGGGGTGGCTTTGTTGGAGGCGTGTCACTGCGTGTCGGTCCCTAGAAGTGTGGGAGGTCATCTATGTCCAAGCTATGCTCAGTGTGGCACCGCCCTCCTCCTGCTGCCTGTGGGCCGAGCACCATGTCTGCCTGCACTCTGCCATGCTTCCCACCATGATGATAATGGACCAAACCTCTAAATCTGCAAGCCAGCCCCAACCAAACATTTTCTTTTTCTAAGACTTTCTACAGTCGTGGTGTCTTTTTACTAAGGCAATGGGAAAGTGAAGTTTGTGTGAACAAACTGTAGCCACAGACGTGATACTGCTTGAGCTAATTAATAATTAGAGAAGTGCTAATTAATATAAAAGAATAACCAGTCCACAGGCAATTCAATAAAAGAAAAACAAAGCAATAATTGCAATTGTTAATAGAATGGCGAGGGGACGATACAAAGTTCTACATTTAATTTTGAGAGCAGTCCAACTTTGAAGAACGTCCCCTGTAGGCTCATGTGCTCAAACAATTAGTGCTCAGCTAGTGGCTGTGGTTAGGAGGGTTATGGACACTTTAGGAGGCAGAGTCTTGAAGGAGGAAGTCCGTCACCAAGGGCAGGCATGGAGGTTAGATAGCTTGGCCGACTTCCTATTCTCTCTCTACTTCTGAGTGCTGATAGGCTGTGTTCTCAGGCTCCTGCTGCCTCGCCTTCCACAGCACAGTGGCATGCACTGCCCACTGAAATTCTAAGCCAAACAAGCTCTGTTTCCTGTAAGCTGCTTTTGTCAGTATTTTATCTCGACAGACTTGAAACTAATAAAGAGCCTTACGAACGCTTCTACGTTAAATACGTTCCAACAAATCACACTCCCGGGAATCTACCCCATAAAAACCAAATCACCAATAAGACTTATGGCAGCATCCTCCTACAGCAAAGAGCAAGGAACAGTGAGGTCGTAAATAGTGGTACACCTGTGTGGCATTACTCAGCAGACACGAAGACTATACACACATATACCATCTGACACAGAAGGATTTCCTTAAAAGCATCTTGAATGACAAAAAAGAAAAAAAAATGTACCATAAAAAACTGTGGCTTTATCTTTAAAAATCAACTCTTAACCCAAACTCATTAATGTGTACGTGCTAAAGTATGTCCGTCTTTGTTCTCCTCTCTGTCTCTGTGGTTGTAAGGAACAGAGACAAAGAAAGAAAGAAAGAGAGGACGTGACAGCATAGAAGATTACAGCGCAGCCCGCTAGCACTCAGTTCCTGCAGGGGGAATAGAGTGCAGGGTCTAAAAAGAAGAAGACATGACTCCACGGATGTTAAGTAACTGTCAGATCTGTGCTTAACTGAGAACCAGGAATGCCACGTGATCGCAGGAGCACCCATCCCCCTCAGTCTTCACTCTCAGACCGCTTCACGATGATCTGACATCTGCTCATTCTCTAACCACCAGTACTGTGGAGTGTCTACATCTGTTCTGCATTTTAAAAGATTCCTATTGTTAATTAATGGTTAACTGTTCACTCGTTTTACGTAAAATCACTTTTGGACACCACTTTTCCGGTTGGTGGTTAGGGGTTGTGGTAGTCTGTGAATGAGAATGGCCGCCATAGGCTCATGTATTTGCATGTTTGCTCGTCAACTGGTGAAACTAAGAAAGATTAGAACGCATAGGTGGCATGGCCTTGTGGGGGCAGGTGTGGCCTTGTTGGAGAAAGTCTGTCACTGGGAATGGGCTTTGAGGTTTCAAAATTCCATTCCAAGCCTAGTGGCTTTCTACCTGATGCCTGCCTATCAGGATGTAGCTCTCAGCTCCTTCTCCAATACCACATCTCCCTGTCTGCCTGCTACCATTCTCCCCATCATGATGATGGTGAACAAAAATCTCTGAAACTGTAAGCAAGCCCCCAGCAAATGCTTCCATATGCAAGAGTTACTGTGGAACCCCACTTCCACAGTAACGGTTGAAGTCTGACATGTCTGGTGGACTCCCTTTTCTTAGTGGGGTTCTCTCTCCGCCTGATCTGTTAGCCCCAGATCTTGTAAGGAGTGTCACATAACCCTCAGGGAAGATTACAAGCTGGACCCTTTCCTAATAAGAAAAACTCTCTGACAGGCACCAGGGGAATCCTGGAGATACTCATCCTTTCTAATAAGATGTCTTGACTTTCCAAATGACCTTTGACTTTACCTGGAGCTCTTCTCCAACCCATAGGATAATTAAGGACGGTGTTAGGACCATGTTACTGCATGTAAAAAGGAGACACTGTACCACTACATGTAAATCAAGCACGCCTGGCACCTCTGACCCTGGCAAATCAAACACATTCACCCTCAACGACCCCCCCTCCGACTGCCCAAGGTTTAGAAATCCCTGATTTCATGCTGCCTCCTGGTGAAGGGAGGACTCCGTCCTCTACAGAAATTCGCTGCTGAACTCCAAGCAGCGCTGCCAGCAGAGCCTCCGCCAGGTCTGCGCCTCACCAGCCCTGACACTTTGGTATCGTCCCTGGCTTCGGGAACTCCCGAATTCCCACTGCCTCCGACATTAGCAATCTTATTTGAAAGAGCTAAGTTGTACCACTCAGTGGCCAACTCTTTCCACACCCTGGCCTAGTGCATGGGCCTCTCCCTAAGGTGCTCTAGCCATTCCTGAGATCTGACACCTTTATTCGACTCTCTGTCAGGAAGCCTCGCTCCGGGGCCCCTGCCAAACAGAGAACAAAGAGTTTCCTTGGTCGTGGTAACTTTTCACAGCGATAGAACTCTAAGAGAGGGGATGGTATAGTTTAACACATAAATGCAAACACATAGCTATACACAAATAAATTTAAAAAACTAAGAAGTCAGTCATTATACACTTAACCACTGGATGTCAAAATGACTATCTGATGAAAATATGTTACTAAAAATGTGCCTGAGTTCCAACTGGTAATAATAAATGATGTATTAATTATGAGTATATACATTAAGGAGACTAGAGAGGCAGGTCAGTGGTTAAGAACACTGGCCACTCTTCCAGAAGACCAAGATTTGGTTCCTAGCACCCACGTGGAGGTTCACAACCATGCACGCCTCCATTTCTAGAGGATTCAAGCCCCTCCTCTGGCATCCTCGGCACCAGGAATGTACACGGTCTACAGGAATGTACACGGACATACATTCATGCAAAACACACATATACATAAGATAATGAAGTCACTTTAATGTAAACTTAAATATTTTAAGTAAAGAAGCTGTTGAAGGCCACTGGCATAGGTTCCATTCAGAGACGGAAACAGGAAAGAGTGGGTGACTAGCTCTGCCTTCATATCTCTCCATTCTGTTACCATGCTTATTCCAACAAGAAAAAATATTGCTTTTGAAACATGAAAACAGTAAAAAATAGACTATGATTTAGTATCTAACTCAAAGGCTTGGTTGCAAAGACTATATATAATAATTCATGCAAAGTTTTTAGCTCATCCCCAATGTGTTGTAAATGTTCGATATCGGGTATTTTATTTTAAACATAACCATTCTAAAAAGCAGAGGGACTGTGAAGCTGAAAAGTCAAAGCCTTTGAAAATGCCACTGGGTAGCCTGGCCATTGTCGCACTCACTGCTGAATCTGACCTCCTTTAGACTGTGAGGGCTTGTACTATGGTAACTATAGCACTCATTAAACAACTCTGTTCTCGTAAAAATGAAACAATTAGGTAACTATTGATATCACACAACAGAAAAAAGATGGCGATATTTTTGCTTTGAAGACTACATTAAGAACTTCAAGAACCATGTAAAGGCATTGTGCTCTGTCCGTCTTTGAACTGATGGAAGCTTGGGTCCTGGATCTGGAACCCATGCTGGGGAAGACTTGAGAGGACAGATTGGGAAGCAACGCAACAGCTTTTCTTGAACTCTGCCCAAGAGGAAAGTCTATTTCCAACAAAGAATTGCCACCCTAACTATGGCCTGCCTACAACACTCCAACCTATTTATAATCCACGAGAACTGAATCTGGCCATCGGTACTGCTATCCAATGAAACATCAACAATCAATCATCCCATAAAACAGCTTCATAAATGTTGTAGACACGGCAGCCACAGTACTCACATGGAATCGACCTTTTCTTCAGGGCCTTGCACCTGACCTGTCACGGTGCCTGTGCGTGTATTCTTCACCCAGCCAACCACACCTCTTTTCTTAGCTTCTCCTTCTGTATACTGGGAAAAAACAAGAGAGGTCAAGTCCCTTGTTAGAAGTCTATACTTATAACACAACTCTAGTATTCAGAACTGCTAAACTCACAATGTTTATTTATTTATTTATTTATTTATTTATTTATTTATTTATTTATTTATTTCTAAAATAGGGTCTAGAAGTTAAAAGCATCTGCTGCTCTTGCAGAGGACCAGGGTACAATTCCCAGCACCCACATGGTCGCTCATAACCATCTGTAATTCCAATTTCAGTAGACAACTCCGGTTCTGGCATCTATGGGCACTAAGTATGCCACAGACACACATGCAGGTAAAACACCAAAACATATTAAATAAAATAAAATAAAACTGTGCCCTGGTGTAACTGACCTACAGTGAGTTTTATTAATCAGATCTATTCATGAGATCAGTGCAATTAGAGAAAAAAAAAGATCAACAGTGAGAATTTCTTCGGAAATAGTTTGTATTACATTTTTTTCAGATCCGCAAAATTCAATTGTGTTTTCCTCACATCCATTAATGATGAATTATATTGCTAATCTAGGCTGCAAAGACTGATGAACCCAGGGTTCTCAATCACCAATTTAAAAATATCAATTTGTGATCAACATAAAATAAATAGATATAGGCAGAAATGGACACTGAATCATTTGAAACGTTTTAATAAAATAGAAATAATTTTAATAATAAATAAAACCAGCAAGAATACTAGACACAGTGGTCAGGAGGGCGAGCACACAGAGGGTTCTGATGATAATGGGCTGTGAACAAATTCAGGCGCTAGTCTGAAAATCATGAAAATAATGAAGATACGGGCAATAAACTGTTAAGGACAGAGTTATCCTGAAATACAGAGAGGCTTGATTGATTAGGACATGGTGGGACCCTCAGGTTAGCAACCAGAGATTGAAAATGGTGATGGCCAGCTTAGAGAATAGGTGAAAATACAAGCTACAGTTAACTTTTGGGGAAGGAGCGTTTTCAAAAATAAAACCAATAGTGTATGAAAGGAATTGCTGCTAAAATGTGCAAAATTAGTACACCTCACTGTGCAGTGTGAGATATGCCCCTGCCCCAAGGGGGGTTCTATCTAGAACATGGGAGAGAAACCATAATTTGTATCCAGTATACCTAGACAAATGCCTGATTAGAACCACATGCCAGAGTACTTTTGAAATTCATAGAAAATTTTAACTAAAACCCAAGAAAGCTGTAATAAAACTTTAATGACGATTTTAATAGAAACCACAATCAGTAATTTCAAGAAAAATACTATCATCTGTCAAGGGCAGGATATAAGCAAATACATTAGAACTGGGTAGAAAATGGTTCTATGAAGACAATGCAGCCTCTCCTGATGAGACCTGATAGACTAGGATCAGAAGGAAGGGAAGGAGGACCTCCCCCATCAGTGGACTTGGGGCAGGACATGGATGGAGAAGAGGGAGGGAGGGTGAAACTGGGAGGAGAGGAAGGAGGGAGGTACAGGGGGGGATACAAAGTGGATAAACTGTAATTAATAAAAACAATAAAGAAAATGGTTCTATGATTAAAATCACTAGTTAAACAAGGATATAAAAATAAGAGAGATTTCACTTACCATTCTGAAGCAAACACCTGAATGAAAGGACAAAAAGAAATGTCATTTGCATGCCTTTTACAAACTACGCACTTTCTGTCATAACTTGTAGTTATTAAAGGGTGCGTGACAAAATGAATGAAACATTCAGTATCTGAATGCATTCAAAGGGTCTTCTTAAAAATAATTTTCATTTAAAATAAAGACTTCTTGGAAAAAAACATTTGAAATCAAAGTATATAATGAAATGCCGGATTACACTTTCATCATTTTTTAAAATGTTTATTAATCCTGGCTACTTAAGGCTGAGGTAGAGGAATGATAAGTTTATGTCCAATCTAAGCTACATAAAAATTCAAGACCAACCTGGACAACTTTGCCTCAAAATAATAAGAATAAGAAGGGAGAGAAGGTCATCTACACATGCAACTCAATCACACATTTGCCCAACATGTATGAAGCCCTAGACAGTCCTCAATTCCACAAAACTGAATTAATTAATGAAGTAACTGTTAAGAGTAGTTGATATAAAATTTACCTAGCCCCAGTTTTTAGGATTTCTCTTTTAAGTAAAACAACTAAATTCAAGTTTAAATAGCTTATATTATTTCTAGTTATAGCCAGCATCAGAAAATGGTAAGTGCTTGACCGCGTGTGAGCTTTCAGGGCTTCATTATTAATGGAAATGAATGCCAATGAAAATGATCCCTAGAGACTGTCTGGTGTAGCTGACATTACATGCATACTTTGGATCATGTGGGTTAGGTAGTATCGTTCGAGTTGTTCTCTCTCTCTCTAGAGTGGTAAGCAAAGATGCTCCATTTGGGGTGTAGGGACGGCTCAGCAGGAAGGCGTAGTGCAGCGTGAGGATGTGTCTTTGATCCCCAGTGACGAAGGTGCCCCTGTGTATAGATACAGAGCCACGTCCACGAAAGGAACGCAACCCATTTTATATCCCATGTTTTATATCTGCAACCAAATACTGGTACATAAAGAACTGGGTTTTTTTTAATGGAAGTCAAACAAGAGGCTAGATAGTTTCAAATTATCAAGGATGTATCCTAAAGACCATTTGCAAAGGTCTAGTACATCTTTTCTAGGAATTATGATTATCCTAAACAACATATCTCAGGTCATCTGCAAATATCAAACTGCAAATCTAAAAATGCTTAATCACAAAGAATGCATAGAAAAAGAGAACCAGCTCCCCACAATTTGCCCTATGACCTCCACATATGAACCATGGCATTTATATTCACAGACATACTGGGGTTTTTTTTGTTTTCAAAAAGAACTAGCCTGAGCTAAAGGTAAAATACACACACACACACAGACTCCACCATGATGGGTCCACACAATACTCTTCATCAGTAAAAAAGAACACAAGCACAGCCAAGGGAAATACAAGTATGTACCAGATACAGGATGTTAAGAAAAAGAAGCTAAACTCACATATAATGTATAATTACATTCTGGAAAGGCAAAGCTACAAAGACTGAAAATAGATTTTGTCTGTTGCCATGGCCTGGGAGGGAAGAGTGTAGTACCAAGAGGCTCAAGGAAACTTTCTGGGGTGATGAGGCTGTCCTCTGAACTCTGCTGGTGATTCCAAGATCCCGCATATGCCAAAAGAAACTGAGTGTAAAAAAGGAGAAATATTACCAATTGTTAATCACACCTTGGTAGAAAACAATCAGAAAAAAATTGATTGGCGAGTTACAGGGACCAGACCAACCAACTTCCAAGGCACACAGCAGCAGGTTGCAGACACGGCATACCATGGGTAGGAGGAGCATGTGAAGGCTTGGCTTGGGTTTTTAAAATTTGCAGTGTTTCCTGATGGTAATATACTGTAGAATCAAATGAATAGGAACAAAAAGAGCAGTAAGGGAATAAAGACAGTGTAATATCACCACTGGAATTTTTTGGGGACTACAAAAATTTTGTTTAAATATATGTAGTGTGGAAGAACGATGAGTAGGAAGAATTGAGCAGGAGAACCAGAAGGCAATCTGTTATTCGCGGAAGGAAAGACGTCAGCCTGTAGATATAAAAGGGACCAGCGGAAACCCACACACGTAGGTTCTACTGCACAAGTAAAGAGCTCAGAATATGGTAACTGTAGACCGAGTACACAGCCTGGCAGCTCCAGGCTGTACTGAACACACCTCCTCTGAGCTACTCAACAAGCCCATGTATGAGCACCGTGAAAAGAAAGCCCGCGGGCAACTGAAGTTAAGAAGAAATTGGAGGGCTGGGGTACAGCTCTGGGACAGTGCACAGGCCTAGTACGTACACTTTCAAGCTTCAGAATCACAAAAAGGTAAGAAAAGGAAAAAAAAAAAAAAAGATCTCTTTCTTACTTATAGGAGAGTCTCAAACCACCAGTCCCTGGGATTTTTCTTACAAATCAAACTCTCAGACAGCGTCTCGCCTTACGGAAGAAACTCTGTGCCTAGATTCCAGGGAATCTTCTGATACTGAGGAAAGTCTGCAGCCAGTGGCTGGGAGGAAGGAGTCACATTACAGGACAGGGGTGGAGTTCAGCAGTACAGCACTTCGCCAGCATGAACAAGGCCCTGGGTTCAAGCTCTGGTGCCGGTTTCCTACCGGGGTGGTTCAGCTGCTGTGGGTGAGAAATCAGATGCTCGCTTATCAACTCTGCCTTACTAGCCTGCAAGTCAATAGTTCACAGGAAGCCCTGTGTGATGGGAGAGCAAACCCTAATCTCCTGCAGGCAATCATGGTCGGTGCTGGAACTGTCCAGCAACCTGCAAACTCAGGTTTGTCCCCTCCACCCTTACTACTTACTGTCCTAGAAAGGGAAGTCTGTGGCAACCCTCACCCTAGCATACAGCAACACCCTTTCAGCATTTATGGTCACACAAGGAGAAATGAAGGCTTATGACTCAAACAGGGATGGAAGAGATGTCTCAGCCAATAAAATGTTTTCTAGACAAGCAGGAAGACCAGAGTTCGGATCCCCAGCAGCCATGTAAAAGCCTGGCATTCCGTGCATGACTGTAACCCCAGCTGCAAGAAAGGTAGAGACAGGAGGATCACTGCAGCTTGCAAGGCCCCTGGGTTTAGAAAATAATCTTGCCTCAAAGGACAGATGGTGACGGAGAAGAAAATAAATGTTTTCTTTGGGCCTCTGTGTGTGCACAAATACACACATGTGATACATTCACGCGTATGCCCTCTTTGGGCTTTGCAGACACACACAGGCAATACACTCACATCTAGTCGCTTACGATATGGTAGGAAAAGTAGGACATCAAACAGACAAAAATAGGCCAAGAAACGGAGTGGGGTGGTTCTGTAACCTCAGAAATGCATGACATCCTTGGCTACATGGCAAATTCAGGGCCAATCTGGCTACATCAGACTCTGTCTCAAAAAGATCAATATAAATAAATATTTAAAGCTGGGGTTAGACATAGCAATATATACCTGTAATCTTAGTACCTGGGAGACAGAGGCAGGAGAATTCAAGTTCTATGTCATTCTGGTCTATACAGTGAGCTCTAGGCTTGGTAGGAATTAAATCCCGAGTCAAAAGAGAAAAATGGCTCAGTGGGTAAGGGCAATTGCTGCTAAGCCTGACAACTTGAGTTTAATCCCCAGACCCCACGTGGTGGAGGGAAAGGACCAACTTCCACAAGCTGCCCTCTGACTGCCACACACACCCACACACAAAAATAAGTAAACAAGCAAATGGGAAAAAATAAAAATAAAAAAGGAAAAAATCAATTCTAGCAATAATACCCATAAGCCTGGATACAAATGAAAGTGTATTGGACAGCCAAACCTATCTCGGTGACTTTTGCACACACTGATTGAAAAACGAATTTTCAAAATGAAACATTTATGAAAATACTATAAACATGTTTTATAATCTAGTTTTTAAAATAAACTAATAATTTTAAATTTAAATTTTTGAAAGTTCAGACTTCATTTATGAGCAATAGTTATTATGGTAAAAGCAATGTGATGTTACAGATGAAAAATACACTCAGAGGCCCAAAGCTAGGATTATCACACACAATTAAATGTGCAAAGACATGCATGGCCTCAGAAAATTATATCCCAGCCCCAAATTGTACCAAAGACTCACTTAAAAACAGCTGAGCTGTGCTCCAGCTGTTTCTAGAAGAAATCGTGTTTTACAACCAAAGTTTCTATAATCTCTCAACTTATCTACTACAAGAACCTCCTAGCCTTCTCGCATCCAGTTCTGTCTGCCACTTGTTCTTCACAAACCAGGCAGGTGTGTTTATCTCCTGAAGTAAAATCAAATCACTTCATTCCCAAGCTTAAAACCCTCTAGTGACTCCTCATGATATTGAAAATAAAATGAATTCTGTCACCACATTGTCCACATCTTTCCCAATCCTGTACCTCTCAGTCTGTCACTCCCCTGTGGTGATTTGATTAAGAAATGCACGCCATAGGCTTATGTACTTGAACACCTGGTCCCTGACTGGTGGTGCTATTTGGGGGAAGGGAGCTATGAAACCTTTAGGAGGTGCTGCCTTGTTGGAGAAAGTACATTGTTGGGAGCAGGACTGGAGGACTTACAGCCTTGCTCCCCTCCCAGTTCAGTCACTCTTGCTTTATGCACTTGGTTGAAGATGTGATTTCTGCACTTCCACAGTTCCTGTACAGGCCTACTATACACTTAGCCATTCACTTTTTATTTCCCATCTTCACAGTAAACCGTAAGCTCCATGGGGGCAACATCTTTCTGCTAGACCAGAGCTGGGCATACAGGTATTGCATAAATTAAAAAAAGAAAGAAAGAAAAGAAAAGCTAGTTGAAGAATGCTTTGTAACAATTCATTAGTAACCTTGTAAATATACATATAGCCATATCAATTAAATTTTAAGATATATATGTATGCATTTAATATATGTATTTATTACATATACACTTATATACATATATGTATATATACATATATATGCATATACACATCTACACACACACATATATATATACACTTAACACAATATGAAAATAGGTTAATCTCTAAAG